AGCCTTAAACCATTTTCTTTTTTATGACAAGTTTCCTCTTCCCAGAACCCAAACTTTTTTTACCGATTTATCCAAAGACAAATATTGTTCTAAATTGATCTTAAGTCTGGATTTTGGCAATTAGGTGTTGACCCAAAAGACGGATACAAAACAGCCTTTTGTATTCTTACAGCCCAATACAAATGGACTGTCCTGCCATTTGGCCTCAAAGTAGCCCCATTACTGTTCCAAAAAGCCATGACCAAAATTTTTGAGCCCATCCTTCACATGAAAATCCAAAGAAAGTCTTTTGAAACTATTTGTGTCTATTGTTCAAAAGTATGGAATCATACTGTCTGAAAAGAAAGCTCTCATTGGTCAATCCTCCATAGATTTCTTAGGCATGAAATTTCTTGAGGGGTCTTATCAACCCTGTCCCCATATTGCCCAAGAACTTCTCAAATTTCCTGATGAAAATCTTTCCACCAAAGAAATCGAACAATTTTTAGGAATTATAAACTTCATTCGAGATTTTGTTTCTGATTGTTGCAGGTATACCACCAACCTGTCCAGATTACTCCGGAAGAATGCACCGCCCTGGGGCCCAGACCAGACAAATGTTGTTAAGACTCTAAAAAATCTTTGGCAGACTCCACCACCACTGAAGATTCCCAGCACCGGCCACCGGATTCTGTAGACAGATGCTAGCAATGAACATTGGGGAGCAGTCCTCATTGAAGAGATTGATGGAAAGAAAAGCCTCTGTGGACACGCCAGCGGACAATTCAAGGACTCGGAAAAGCATTACCATGCAGTATACAAAGAAATCTTGGCTGTCAAATATGGAATTAAAAAATTTGAATTTCATCTTGTAGGTCATCATTTCATTGTATAGATGGATAACACGTCTTTCCTAAAAATCATGGATCTACAGAACAAAGGTGTCCCGGAACCACAATTGTTGAGGTTGAAGGATTGGTTCTCTAAGTACCAGTTCTAAGTGAAGCATATAAAAGGAGATACAAACATCATCCCAGATTGGCTATCCATACCTCAACCAGTTCAACCAATACATCTTATCTCAGCAAGAAAAATCATCCCGACTTCATGGCTTCTTCATCTGAAATAGCTCCACAAATTCAACCAATCCATACTTTCCCCCCAGAAGCAAAACCATTCAAGAGCTTGAATGAAATGCAGAAATTTGCCAAAAATAATGAGCTACTCTACTTGGCAAAATTTCTCAGTGCCGCTGATATTCCTTTTAAACGAGGATGTTTCTCTCTTGAATACCCCTTTGGAACTATCATACGCATGTCAGTGACTAATCCATTGCCTGAACCTGGTCTATGGTATCTTTGGTGCATGGCGGTTCTTTATCGCTTTGCAATGGAAATACCCGTTTTACCGTTGTTAGAATATATCCATACCCACAAAATGTAGGATCATTCCTTTGGTCATTTCTCCACTGCTTCGATGAATTAGAGACTTGGGATACCATGATGCGAGGAGAAATTGATCTCCAAGCTAAGCGTGGTAAGAAGCCTGACAAAATTATCATGTTATTTCGCAGGCCCTGCTATCGCGGAACTCATGGAACACTCATCCCACACTCCTATAACTACAAGTGGGTCAGCCTAGAAGGATCTATTTTCAAACACCCAGATATGCTCAACAGTCTTAGCAAGAAACTTAGTAGTGATAACAAGCTCTCATTTACTATCCCTACTAAGAATCTGAAATACACGTCCTATTTTCTTGTGGAAGGAGAAGTACTCAATCACGAAGAAGTTTGTCCAAAGGGCACTTAGATGATAAAGTAGTCATCTCAACTAGAAACAGAAGACTAGGACACACAAATGCCAGACTACCCAGAATTAGACCCAAATCCAGACTCACAAGACCCATGAGAGTATGAACATAGTCATGACATTAATTGGGATGGTTGTGGACTTTTCTGGTTCGAACCATACACAAAGGAGTACTATGAGTATCATTGATCGTGAAGGCTATGTCACGGGTGCTTTGGAAAGGACACAGGTCAACACTATTTTCCAGTTCTAGAGTCATGACTCACCGGACTTAGAGTTGTGATTCATCAGTCTATGTTTGTCTTTATTATTAGAGTTGTCTTTTCAAATAAATCATCGTGTCTCTTGACTTGATGACGACATGTACTATTTGGCACTATTTAGTCACGTTAAGAGAAAGGTTAAGTCTTGTGATATGTAAGAGTCTAGTTGTCATGTTAGGCAAGAAAGTCCAATTTGCATTGATTTTTATTTGGAGTCCAGCCCTTATAAATAAGGCCTTGATGTATGGTTTCTATTTTTATTTTATTTTATCTTTATCTTATGCAATTGAAACACTCTTGTTTAAAATCAATCACATGTTTGAATCAATGTTAGGCATGAAACAAAAACTTATCTTTTTTTCCTTTATATGGATTCGAGACATGCATGCATTATAACCCGACTTTATTCCCAAAAGCACAAACAACGTGAGATTCCTAAGTTTGGAATTTGAGTCCCAATATGCAATTTTATTTAGTTTTTTCCAATAGAAATATTTCGGTGGCCAACATATTAATCAATCAAATAATAAAAAAAAGCAGAATTTGTTCTCTAAGCAATTTTAAAAAATTATTCATTTCGTCCCAAAATCATTGTCCAGTTTAAAGTTTGAATTCCATATGTAGTACAAATTGAACTAAAATGAAAACACAAATTAGACAATAATTTTAGGTTATAGTGAGTACTAAATGATAGGGATGATATAAGTCGCCCAATTGCTCGTTGAGCTTCCCCATCTTCATCATATATCTCCTTCAGAGTTTCCAAGATATGAGGACATCCATGAGCATTCATAACTCCAGTTTTTTTGACACAATTCAAAAAATGAAGAAAGTTCATCACCTTAAACAATGCCTTTATCAAAATCTCAACCCCCATTGGAGCTTCAATTCTTGAAGCCAAATCAATCGTCTTCAACATCTGAGAAATCATGTAACGCATCCAATTTTATAAATATAAAACAAATTTCAATCAAAATGAATTCCACGGCTTCCATAATTTAGAACATGATAGCCGTCTGCGACGAAGGTTTAATCTGAATCCACATATTAAGCAATTTCTGTAATTTCTGCAAGAGCAAAAGATATTGCATCTCTTTACACTATTGTAATTCTTGATGATTAAGAACGTTTAGCCCATTCGATGAAGGCATCAGTTGTCAAAATTAGTTTTTGCCCAAACAGAAAACAAAATTTTTCACAAAAAAACATAAAACAATCATAAAGCTTACTTGATAGGGATCCTGAATACCATCATAACCAAGAGTTGTCAGCTTCAGTATCAGTTCCGCAACTAGATGACTCAAAGGCATAATCCATTAATGCTCCATTGTAGTCATAATTGTAAGTTTTGTTACAATTTCTTGCTTGGACTAGTGGTCAGTTCCACTGCAGCTACGGTGGAGAAGTCCAACAACTATCAATTAACCAGCAAAAATAGAAGGGAGAAAAAGGTAATGATCTGACCCAAAACAGCAGCAGCAACTGGTGGATAGCATTTTAAAATTATGTGAAAATAATATTTAACATAAATTTTAAAATATGAGTTAAAATGTTATATGTATAGCATTTATTTTGTCCTGAGATATGGGTTTACGGGAAAAGCTAAAAAAAATTTTGTTTTGTTTTTTTGCTTGGCCATACAAACTCATAATCATTTGAAAGTTTTCGATTCTTGTCGGAGAGAATTTTTAAATTTATAAAAAAAAGATATTATATTTTACAAAACTTACAAAAAAGAAATTAGGATCCATCATTTAATTGTTGGGTCTAGTCCAATAGTATAATACCCTCGATAAAGTAACAATGACAATTTCTATAAGCACAACGATGAATAAATATTGTTTGCAAGAAGCGCACCAATCCACGGGAAGTTATAAATTACTTAAAATTGACAAGGATAATTATGTATTGTTTGAATTTAATGATACGTTCCATTGACGTAATCATATTCTCGCCCAATTTCCATTTTCTTATAGCATATATTTTGTATTAACATAGAAAACTTTGTAATTCTTATTGACTTAGAATCGATAACGAGATGTAATATCAATAATTTTCTTTCCTCATAACCAACTTTCTTTTTGGAACTGAAGGATGTATTGATCAATTTCACGGGCCTAGATTTATACATTGGGCCAATTAGTTAACTGTCACGACCCGGGGGGCGTTGGGGTGGCCGGAAACAGCAAGGGGAGAAATAAAAGGTGGCCGGAAATTCTAGAGTTGAGAATTGGGGGAGATCGGAGAAGAAGGAAGGGCAATTGGAAAATTCCAATTCAAGTATAATATTTTCGATAAACTATTACAGGTCCTTGCTGAGATATTTATATTCTACCTAATTTCAGAAACTACATTCTAGTCTCTAAAGTTTCTAATTTCTACAATTGAGTTTAGAGGCATGACAAACCCCTCCCCTTAAAACAGTCTTGTCCCCAAGACTGTCAGTACTTGGCTACTACTTCGTGAAATGAGCAAAAAAAACTAAGTTTTTACAGCGGACTAACAAACAAAAAAAAAAAAACAAACAAACAAAAACAAGTCACTAAAACCAATAGTCTTAACACAATGAAAAGGCGCAGGAGCAGAATTCTGAATCCAGCAGCTACCATTTCCTTGGTTTGCAGCTTTTGAAGACAAGTGACTGCCGAAATATTCAACTGTGTCTGCTCTAATCATCAACTATATAATTCCCATTGTCCTCGCAGAAATTACCCCCAGATGCCAAGCGATCATCCAAATCCAAGTAAGTGCGCTTGTTTTCTGTGAACTTCAAGGATTAAAGTATCACATCTGAGATATGTTGCTCTTAGAAACCAGACCATCATTTCCAAAAACACGGTGCCACCCTTAAAACCAGTGACAACCTGAGACCAGACCTTGTGTATTCTGTTTGTGTCCGCTGATTTCATTCTGCCTTCTCCACCTCCACATAGGTTATTCCCAGGTCTCAAACAACACCCTGAATACTACCACACCTTTGAAACATTTGATCTTCCACATCATACCGATCCAATTCCTCAAAAATAGACTCTATTATATCATGACCTTTACTGCTGATTGGATTGACAGCACCAACACATGCATCCAACCCACCAGATGCAACATCCTCCCATAAACACATTGCTTCAATATTAACTATGGAACCTATTTCTGGTTCATACTGCATAAGGTCATATCTATCTAGATTTAAATCCTTGTTCTCATTTCCAGCAATAATAATACAAAGAGAATTCACATATATCACAATGGTACCCCCCTTGAAACTAGAGACACTTTTAGACCAAGATTTCTATCATTTTCTTGTACAAAAATATCGAATAAAACTATGATTTCTAAATGCACAAGAACCACTTTCAGACAAAACATTCTCACTAAGCCCCACAGCAACAGCAACAATACAGAAATACCATCATAAGCAGCAAAGAAGCAAACCCAAGAAAACTTCTTCAAGAGAAACACTTGCTTCATTTTGCAATTCTCAGAGGTATTAATCAATCCAACTTCTCTAACAACACATTGATAGTTCCCAAATAAATTGAGATAAAAGACTCTACTAAATGCTACTGTTTCTAATTCGGAAGTAGCAATTCCACCCTTAAAACACGTAGTTCTTTCAACCCAATTCAACCATTTAGCAATATTCACTGAACCTGTATTACTATCGTGATTCAAATTAACTTCAGTAAACAAGGGAGATTCACACATGATATCAACAAGAGTATTTTGGAAGAGCAGCTTAAGAGTATCATTCAAATACCCAACTTTACCAACAGCTTTATTAACACAAGACCTAGCAATTCGTACCTCCTCTCCCACTAAAGTAAGGCTTGACCTCAAGCCTAGAAGGTGGAAACAAATTTCAGAGTGTACCTTGTGTCTTGCAGTATTGGGAGCAGCCACACTGGTCCCTATAACACTTGACGGAGCATCAACAATTGATTTGAGAAGACTAACCACCAGAACACAACTATAGGGAGGATTAATCACAACATTGTTCCATTCCCCAAAAGAACAAAGATAACATCAATATGAATTAAATTAGGGCAGCATTATCTAACTTGCAGTTCTCTTTTTGGGAATATTTCACATAATCCTTTCGGCTGAATTCTCTAACTGGCATTATCCATCGACAGACCACTCGGCGCATCACGAAGCAGCAAACCAGCAACACTAACGTTATAATCAGGATACGGAATAACATAATCATCAAATTCATCAAGAACATGTCCTTTTTCTTCATTGACTCTACTTAGAACAATATTTTCAAAACAGAGGAATTTACCCTTATTGACTTTCGCGTCCCCCTTTTCAGCAATCATTATTTCTTGGAAAACCACAAAATCAACGATCGAGTCATCAATAGACAATGAAGAAGCATCAGTAAGACCTTCTAAATCAGCATCAACATTGTTGCAGTTCGACTCAGTCAGTTTAGAGTTCAAAAACTTATGTAACAGTGTAGCCGGAATACAAAAAACCATGTCATTCGAAGACTGGAATACTTCGTTTACCCCACTGTTGCAACCAACAAGATTTCTATGAACCGAGAGTACGTATGGACCAGGAAATCAGCATTCATATTGGTGGCTTTATACTCCACAGTCGCATGAGTTCCGATTCCTACTCCATATAACCCAATACTAGTTCTCAGTACACTAGTATCACTTTTTGCAACTAGAAACAGATCAAGACTCTTAAGATCATCCTCACTAAGTCTGTCTACAATAAATTTTGCATCATAAGCAACGGTAGGTTGATTAATACCATGATCTTCACTGTTGAAATGCATTTCATTACTGTTTTTAAAATGACTAAACACATTAGCATCAATAGCATATTCTGACATCTCTAACGTTTTTGGCTGTATAGTCACACAATCACTTTCACAATAGTTGATTTTCAGACCACCCGGATCATCAAAAAATGACCCTTTAACAAACATAGAACTCTCAATATATTTCCCCCACTTGACAAGATCAAATGAACCCTTAATAATACAACATAGCAATCCAGTACTACCTTCAAAGGGGTTAAACACACTACTTGACAACCAATCATCAGCAATCAAACGCTCATCATCAGAATACATAAGCTCATCTACCACGACAACATCAACAGGGCACTCATTTCCCTCAAGATCCACATGTAAGGATTTTTCAAAATCATAGGAACGCACAAATTCACCCTTTTCATTGCAATTCACAAAAGCATCAACCGAAGTCTCTAAAGAGGCAACGTTATCATCAACACAATTCAACAATTCATCATCAACTATAGAATTGTAAAGCAAGTAATCATCGACTGGACTGAGACACATTGATCTATATCCAGACAATTTCTCATATTCATCAATTTCTTGCACAAAGTCAGCACCATTATCAATTAAGTTCACAAAAAGTACTCCAAGAGAAGTATCATTTTCATCCGAATTTTCAACTTCCACATTTGAACTATCTTGGAGTTCAGAGGCTTTACCTTTTAGGTCAAAGCTTGACTCGTTGGGTGTATGCGTTACATCATGACCTTTACTACTGATTGGATTGACAGCACCAACACAGTCATCCAACCCACCAGATGCAACAGCCTCCCATAAACACATTGCTTCAATATTAACTACGGAACCTATTTCTGGTTCATACTGCATAAGGTCATTTCTATCTAGTTTTAAATCCTTGTTCTCATTTCTAGCAATAATAATACAAGGAGAATTCACATGTATCACAATGGTACCCCCCTTGAAACTAGAGACACTTTCAGACCAAGATTTATAACATTTTCTTGTACAAAAATATAGAATAAAACCATGATTTCTAAATGCACAAGAACCACTTTCAGACAAAACATTCTCACTAAGCCCCACTGCAACAACAACAGTACCAGAAATACCATCATAACCATCATAGAAGCAAACCCAAGAAAACTTCTTCAAGAAAAACACTTGCTTCATTTTGCAATTCTAAGAGGTATTAATCAATCCAACTTCTCTAACAACATATTGATAGTTCCCAAATAAATCGAGATAAAAAAACTCTACTAAATGCTACTGTTTCTAATTCGGAAGCAGTAGTTACACCCTTAAAACAAGTAGCTCTTTCAACCCAATTCAACCATTTAGCAATATTCACTGAACCTGTATTACTATCGTGATTTAAATTAACTTCAGTAAACAAAGGAGATTCACACATGATATCAACAAGAGTATTTTGGAAGAGCAGTTTCAGAGTATCATTCAAATACCCAACTTTACCTACAACTTCATTAACACAAGACCTAGGAATTCGTACCTCCTCTCTCATTAAAGTAAGGCTTGACCTCAAGCCTAGAAGGTGGAAGCCGATTTCAGAGTGTACCTTGTGTCTTGCAGTATTGGGAGCAATCACGCTGGTCCCTATAACACCTGATGGAGCATCAACAATTGAGATGAGAAGAATGACCACCAGAACACAACTATAGGCAGGATTAATCACAACATCGTTCCATTCACCCAAAAGAAAAAAGATAACATCAATACGAATTAAATTAGGGCAGAATTCTCTAACTTGCAGTTCTCTTTTTGGGAATATTTCACAGAATCCTTTCGGCTGTATTAACTGATCACCAGGGTCAATAACAAAACTACAAATTTTTTCAGTTACAAGACGTTGCAAACCATTACTTACTGCCATTCTTTTATCAATTTCAATCAAAAACTCAGGATCCTTGGCATTATCCATCAACAGACCACTCGACGCATCACCAAGCAGCAAACCAGCAACACTAACGTTATAATCAGGATACGGAATAACATAATCATCAAATTCATGAAGAACATGTCCTTTTTCTTCATTGACTCCACTTAGAACAATATTTTCAAAATAGAGGAATTTACCCTTATTGACTTTCCCGTCCCCATTTTCATCAATCATTATTTCTTGGAAAACCACAAAATCAGCGATCGAGTCATCCATAGACAATGAAGCATCAATAAGACCTTCTAAATCAGCATCAACATTGTTGCAGTTCGACTCAGCCAGTTTAGAGTTCGAAAACTTATGTAACAGTGCAGCCGAAATACAAAAAACCACGTCATTCGAAGACTGGAATACTTCGTTTACCGCACTGTTGCAACCAACAAGATTTCTACGAATCGAGAGTAAGGAAATTCCCGTATGGACCAGGAAATCAGCATTCATATTGGTGGCTTTATACTATACAGTTGCATGAGTTCCGATTCCTACTCCATATAACCCAATACTAGTTCCCAGTACACCAGTATCACTTTTTGCAACTAGAAACAGATCAAGACTCTTAAGATCATCCTCACTAAGTCTGTGTACAATAAATTTCGCATCATACGCAGCGGTAGGTTGATTAACACCACGATCTTCACAGTTGAAATGCATTTCATTACTTTTTTTAAAATGACTAAACACATTAGCATCAATAGCATATTCTGACATCTCTAACGTTTTTGGCTCTATAGTCACACAATCACTTTAACAGTAGTTAATTTTCAGACCACCCGGATCATCAAAAAGTGACTCTTTAACAAACATAGAACTCTCAATATATTTTCCCCACTTGACAAGATCAAATGAACCCTTAATAATACAACATAGCAATCCAATACTACCTTCAAAGGGGTTAAACACACTACTTGACAACCAATCATCAGCAATCAAACGCTCATCATCAGAATACATAAGCTCATCTGCCACGAGAACGTCAACAGGGCACTTATTTCCCTCAAGATCCACATGTAAGGATTTTTCAAAATCATAGGAACGACAAATTCACCCTTTTCATTGCAATTCACAGAAGCATCAACCGAAGTCTCTAAATAGGCAACGTTATCATCAACACAATTCAACAGTTCATCATCAACTATAGAATCGTAAAGCAAGTAATCATTGACTGGACTGAGACACATTGATCTATATCCAGACAATTTCTCATATTCATCAATTTCTTGCACAAAGTCAACACCATTATCAATTAAGTTCACAAAAAGTACTCCATGAGAAGTATCATTTTCATCCGAATTTTCAACTTCCACATTTGAACTATCTTGGAGTTCAGAGGCTTTACCTTTCAGGTCAAAGATTGACTCGTTGGGTGTGTGCGTTACATCATGACCTTTACTGCTGATTGGATTGACAGCACCAACACAGTCATCCAACCCACCGATGCAACAGCCTCGCATAAAAACATTGCGTTAATATTAACTACAGAACCTATTTTTGGTTCATACTGCATAAGATCATTTCTATCTAGTTTTAAATCCTTGTTCTCATTTCCAGCAATAATAATACAAGTACTTCACATGTATCACAATGGTACCCCCCTTGAAACTAGAGACACTTTCAGACCAAGATTTATACTATTTTCTTGTACAAAAATATCGAATAAAGCCATGATTTCTAAATGCACAAGAACCACTTTCAGACAAAACATTCTCACTAAGCCCCGCAAACAGCAAAGAATAAGATTCGAAATACCATCATAAGCAGCATAGAAGCAAACCCAAGAAAACTTCTTCAAGAAAAACACTTGCTTCATTTTGCAATTCTCAGAGGTATTAATCAATCCAACTTCTCTAACAGCATATTGATAGTTCCCAAATAAATCGAGATAAAAAACTCTACTAAATGCTACTGTTTCTAATTCGGAAGAAGTAGTTCCACCCTTGAAACAAGTAGGTCTTTTAACCCAATTCAACCATTTAGCAATATTCACTGAACCTGTATTACTATCGTGATTCAAATTAACTTCAGAACAAGGGAGATTCACACATGATATCAACAAGAGTATTTTGGAAGAGCAGCTTCAGAGTATCATTCAAATACCCAACTTTACCTACAACTTCATTAACACAAGACCTAGGAATTCGTACCTCCTCTCCCACTAAAGTAAGGCTTGACCTCAAGCCTAGAAGGTGGAAACCAATTTCAGAGTGTAGCTTGTGCCTTGCAGTATTAGGAGCAGCCACACTGGTCCCTATAACACTTGACGGAGCATCAACAACTGATATGAGAAGAATGACCACCAGAACACAACTATAGGCAGGATTAATCACAACATCGTTCCATTCACCCAGAAGAACAAAGATAACATCAATATGAATTAAATTAGGGCAGAATTCTCTAGCTTGCAGTTCTCTTTTTGGGAATATTTCACAAAATCCTTTCGGCGTTATTAACTGATCACCAGGGTCAATAACAAAACTACAACTTTTTCCAGTTACAAGACGTTGCAAACCATTACTTACTACCACCGTTCTTTTATCAATTTCAATCAAAACTCAGGATCCTTGGCATTATCCATCGATAGACCACTCGACGCATCACCAAACAACAAACCAGCAACACTAACGTTATAATAAGGATACTGAATAACATAATCATCAAATTCATCAAGAACGTGTCCTTTTTCTTCATTGACTCTACTTAGAACAATATTTTCAAAATAGAGGAATTTACCATTATTGACTTTCGCGTCCCCATTTTTCAGCAATCATTATTTCATGGAAAACCACAAAATCAGCGATCGAGTCATCAGTAGACAATGAAGAAGCATCAGTAAGACCTTCTAAATCAGCATCAACATTGTTGCAGTTCGACTCAGTCAGTTTAGAGTTCGAAAACTTATGTAACAGTGCAGCCGAAATACAAAAAACCACGTCATTCGAAGACTGGAATACTTCGTTTACCCCACTGTTGCAACCAACAAGATTTCTATGAACCGAGAGTAAGGAAATTCCCGTATGGACCAGGAAATCAGCATTCATATTGGTGGCTTTATACTCCACAGTCGCATGAGTTCCGGTTCCTACTCCATATAACCCAATACTAGTTCCCAGTACACCAGTATCACTTTTTGCAACTAGAAACATATCAAGACTCTTAAGATCATCCTCACTAAGTCTGTGTACAGTAAATTTTGCATCATAAGCAGCGGTAGGTTGATTAACACCACGATCTTCATAGTTGAAATGCATTTCATTACTGTTTTTAAAATGACTAAACACATTAGCATCAATAGCATATTCTGACATCTCTAACGTTTTTGGCTCTATAGTCACACAATCACTTTCACAGTAGTTGATTTTCAGACCACCCGGATCATCAAAAAATGACCCTTTAACAAACATAGAACTCTCAATATATTTCTCCCACTTGACAAGATCAAATGAACCCTTAATAATACAACATAGCAATCCAGTACTATCTTCAAAGGGGTTAAACACACCACATGACAACCAATCATCAGCAATCAAATGCTCATCATCAGAATACATAAGCTCATCTGCCACGACAACGTTAACAGGGCACTCATTTCCCTCGAGATCCACATGTAAGAATTTTTCAAAATCATAGGAACGCACAAATTCACCCTTTTCATTGCAATTCACAGAAGCATCAACCGAATTCTCTAAAGAGGCAACGTTATCATCAACACAATTCAACAGTTCATCATCAACTATAGAATAGTAAAGCAAGTAATCATCGACTGGACTGAGACACATTGATCTATATCCAGACAATTTCTCATATTCATCAATTTCTTGCACAAAGTCAGCACCATTATCAATTAAGTTCACAGAAAGTACTCCACGAGAAGTATCATTTTCATCCGAATTTTCAACTTCCACATCTGAACTATCTTGGAGTTCAGAGGCTTTACCTTTCAGTTCAAATCTTGACTCTTTGGGTGTGTGCGTTGCCGACTTATACGATCCCACCTCCAGATCACCATCGGATTCTTCTTGGACTATTGAAGCAGGAATTTCAGTTGACTCCACTGGTGGCTTAACTTCCTTGAATGAAGAAACCGTAGACTCTATCTCCCAAGTACAGATCACCGTGGTTGACCGAATATAGTCCCCAAATTTGAGCTCTCGCTGGTCAGCAAATTTTTGCCAAGTTGAAAATTGAGAAGTATAGAACAACCCATATAAGAATCGCAATGGTTCTCCAGCTAAATAGAATTCTGAAATAAATAATTTTGAATCCGGTCGTATGGAATTAAAGGAGAAGAGTCGCTCCATTTTGTCAATCCACGGCCGACATTTTTGCTTGTAAAAAGGGGAATTTCGTCCGGCGACGGTTCAGGGAGGTTATACTTTGTCGGATTAGGTGGAAGGATTTCAGATGAGGGAAGAGTTAATTCTTTCTGAACCCTGCGTAGGATTTCGTCGGACAAGATGAATGCCATGGATTGGGTTGATAGTAAGCTTAATCGATGAACCACAGAAAGGGACAGAGTGAAAGATTCGGTGTGAACCACAGAAATGGAAACATTCACACAGATTTCAGAAATGGGGGAAGCAATAGAGGTCAGAGTTCAGAGGGTTGAGAAATAGAAGGGAGAAGAATGAGAAAGAATCGGAACAGTGAATCTAATATAGAGTCGGCCAAGAATCAGCCGGCTCTGATACCAAATGTCACGACCCGGGGGGCCTTGGGAGTGGCCAGAAACAGCAAGGGGAGAAATAGAAGGTGGCCAGAAACTCTAGAGTTGAGAATTGGGGGAGATCGGGGAAGAAGGAAGGGCAATTGGAAAATTCCAATTCAAGTATAATATTTTCGATAAACTATTACAGGTCCCTTCTGAGATATTTATATTCTACCTAATTTCAGAAACTACATTCTAGTCCCTAAAGTTTCTAATTTCTACAATTGAGTTTAGGGGCATGACATTAACTTTCTTAGCCCATTTGCTAATTTTAAGAAAATGGGCTAACATTTGAGAAACTAAAATAGTCAAATATACTCTTTTTTTGGTTTTTTTTTTTCAATAAAACAACAAACACGTAAAAAGAAAAAGAATCAAAAAATGGTTTTTTTTTAATATATCATTCATTTGCCGTGCACAAATTGGGTGAGACTCCCATAAATTTAATCGTAAACCTAAACTATTATCAGAGGACAAAGTACGAGTAATGGGGAAAGGGAGAATAAACCTACATTATGAGGGGGGGGGGGTTTAAACCTGAGACTTTTCCTCAAAAAGTATTCTAAAACGACTTCCTGTGGTTATATGATGAAACAAAAATATAAACTCTATACTGGCCCGTTGTTTCTTTATTTTTTTTTCCCTTTAAGGAAAAAGGCAAAAAATTATATTTTCTTCGTTTTAGAATGATTATTTTGTAGTATTAATTTGAGATTTTGAATAATCATTATAGAACAGAAAGATATTATACTTAGTCACAATAGTCAACACTAACTAAATTGGGGGTGAAGATCAAAACTTGACAAACGCACGTATTTTGACCCATCCCTTAAGTAAGATTTTAAGTAACTTACATATTCACAATTATCCCAAAGTTATTCATCCTAATCCTAGAGAGAAAGTAAGAATTCAGTTCGATTAATGAAAGTTTTGACATTTAAATAATTAGGGGAAAATTATTTAGTAATAAGAAAAGGAAGAAATCATTATTAACAAAGAGCACTACTAAGTGAATACTAACTCCGCAAACGAACATGGAATAATAATTTAGGCTTTGTGAATTAGTTGATAAAATTACAGGCACTGTTTCAATAATAAATCAGGATGCAACGAATATGCACTTTCATTGCACAAAAAATAAATGTAATAATTCTCATCCAAAATGTTCTCCAAAAAGTTTAAAGGTGAGTCCATCTGAATTAATTCGATAACAGAAAAAAAAGGGGGAGAATCACATAATGTGTTCACAAATTGAATAACTTGATATAGATTTTCTCACTTAAACATAAATTAGTGCCAATTATGATCATCACAGATATAAATAACAAGGACAAACTATGCTTTGGTCAATGAATCAGTGCCATTGAGGTTCTTTCGAGTTTCTTCTGGTTAGTACTACAATTTCACATTTACTGGACACATTGTGCACTGCACTAGTATATTAGGCCACATTTACCAATTATTACATAAATGCTCTTTAAGGAATGTTGCTTCAAATAATAGAATCATATTATAGGGCACCTTCAAGGAAAAGAATTATGTGGAACTGTAATTACACATGAACTAATTAATGTATTCAACGAACGTACCTAATTAATATTTTATTATTGGAAACAAGATTGATTATAATTATTGATAGATATTTTATAATGAACGTACCTTATTAATGAATTTTTAGTAAGGTGTGTTAATTTGAAACTATTCATGTAACAATTATTAGATACATTCATTGAAAATAAATACTCACGATGTTGTTGTCAAATTAACTCATTTTTTTCCCAATGGTTGTCAACCTTCAACGTTTCTCTTTTAGTTTTGTTTCTTTTCATATTACAGTTTTGATAATTAATGTTCTCATTATTAGTAATTTAGTACTCTGAACTCGCACAGAAAACTCAGATTAATTCTCCCCAAATTAAAATTATTCATTTGATGACAAATTTACCACTTATTAACATATTTACACAATACTCTTATAATTTTATTATTACATCTTGATTTACGAAAATACTAACGTAAAACGAAGGAAACCAAAGACCAAAAAAAAAAAAAAGAGAAAAAGGAAAATGAAAAAGCGAATAAGGCAAACGTTAAAGTTTTTCGAAACGAGAAACGCCTAAACAAAAATACTGTCTTACTGTAATCCTAAATTTCCGGAAGAGGCGCACACGAGAAGCACCCTTCATACACAATAACGTCACAGGCAGCGCACGTTAGCATTTCCCACCCGGAAAACGCCACGTCACCCATAACGGTCCCCACCACACTGACTTTCCTCTCTTCCCTTTAAAATCCCCTTCTTCCATATTTTTTTTTTATGTTTTTTGAAAACTCTATATAAATCATATATTTTGCTCCGAGCTGGAAATGTCAATGTCTTTTTAATTCCCAAATTAACCTCCGGCATTCAATTGAATTTCCTCTAACGGCACACCCCTTCCACCCCAAAATGGCGCCGTCCACCTCCATCACCACCACCACCACCACCAAAGCCGCCGCCAACCGGTGCTTTTCGCCGGCGGATGAATTCTCCGACGAAGAAGACGATCAGCTGATCATCCTCCATCGGCCGCGTCGGGCGAGGAAGTATAAGTCGGTGAAGCTGCTAATGAGGATGGCTAAAAGGGTGGAACTCCCGTACCGCCCCGAAGATTATTACGGTGTGGTCGACGACGACGTCGACGATCACGATTCCGGTAATGGCGGTGACGGAGAAGACGATAAGTACAGCGAATTGGGGTGTGAGGAATGCGGCTCAGGGGAACGAGCTGACCAGATTTTGATTTGTGACAAATGTGACAGAGGCTTTCACATGAACTGCCTTAGGCCCATTGTTACTAGTGTCCCCCCTGGCTCCTGGTCTTGCCCTAATTGCACCGACCCACTTCCCCAAAGGCCTGAATTTAAATGTATGATTAAACCCTTTAATTCAATTCAATTCAATGGTGGGAAATTTCACCAGAACAATCTAACCTCAATTTCATCGAATACGAAACGTGTGTCTTTGTGTGTGTGTATGTGTGTGCGAGGGAATGAGTGTATGTGTGTATCAATCTGTGTTGGTCTAATAAAAAGCTGTTATAATTGACTGATATAAACAATGAGTGTTAAGTCAGAGCGTGTGATTGAGTGTCTGAATGTGTGCCGTTGTTCTCTCGTTTGGGGCTAAGGGATGGGGGTGAATTTGGGGGTTTAAAGTTTTGATTTTGATGGAAAATTTTGCATAAAGGTATTGACTTGTTTTCATTTATTTGATGTCTTTTCTGTTTTCCTGTGTTTTTTTTAATACAGCTCTTACCCAGACGACGATCATGGATTTCTTTGGGCTTCAGAAATGTACGGAATCAATGGAGAAACTTGATTCAGTTTTAGGTAAAGTTTTGACCTTTCTACCTCATTCTGTGTCTACATTTTTTTATACAGCAGTGTTAGCAGAAGAAATGTGGTTTCAGAAGCTGCTAGTATTGGGCTTGCTCCTTCAATTCTAGCCTTCACGCTTCTAATGGTGGTTAAAATCAGCCTCCTATGGAAGATAACTTCTTGTTTATGTTTCTTTTGGTTCCCTTCTTTCCTTTTCAACAAGTAAAAATAAATATAAAAATTTAAGATCACCGCAATTAGGATAGCTATAGTGAAACTTCTGCAGAATGCTGCCCTTTCTTTTCTTTGGTTGTCGTATTCGGTTTTAGTTTTCCGACATTTTCTTGTTCATTTTAGAAATGAAATCATATCTAGACTCCGTTTGGAAAAAGATATTTGAAAACCAGATGTAAAACCAGTTCAAAATCTTCTTCTCCGTTGGAGAAATGTACTTTCTTTATTCTTGCAGCTGATAGCATCATAGGTTGTAAGCTTCTTGTCAAACATCTTTTAGTTTCCCTTATTTGCTAAAATGTACAAGCAAGAAGAAGTTCGCAATACAGTTTCTTGATGAGTTGTTTCAAATGTAGGTCATGAGTTATCAATCAACATAGAATCCAAAATCCGGTAATAGAGTCAGAAACTCAGGTGGGGGTGGATAGAATTGTAGTTTAGGAAATTCATGGGTTGAGATATGTGGTGATGAGCTATTTAGTGTTGAGAGACATTTAAGGGGTGGCACCTGGAAACTGACTCTAGGGTAGGTACTTTTCTGGAGTCAGTGCTTTTAAGGCTGGTAGTTTCTGTATGTTAATACATTACTTAACTGAGCGTAGTCATGGTATATTCAATTCTACATAAATAGATTCCTGTCGATATTGAATTTACTGATCTCGCTTTGCACTGAAAAGTTGCCAGTTGTGAGTACAAAACGGGGAACTTAGAAGAGGTTAGCTTGTGAGACTATGTGAAGATCGAGCTTAAAGCTTCTTTGTTTTGAGGTAGTTTCCATATTCCGGAATCTTGCTGTTTGATGCTGCAACAGGTTCCTAAACAGAAGCATTTTAACTCTTACAAAGTTGATGATCTAGTGAATTCAATGAGATGAAGCAGGTTAAGATTAGAAATTAAACTTGTCCGTTCTTTTCCAACGTAAAAATTCATAAATTAATTTCGCCAACAACTCTTGATGCTGAGCTCAAAGAACCTCGAGAACTGATGTTCCTTGATAGATGAATCCAGGACAAAGAAATTATTGACAAAATCTTTCTGTAACAAATTATTTCTCCTCTCCATTTGGACTCTGGTTTACGGCTTTATACATTAATTTTTCACCTGAAGTAAGGTGGACGCTTTCAAATTGGACTACTTTATTGAATCTTAATGTACCTAGTTGCTGCTGAATCCTGAGGATATCTTTGTTCGCTAACAAAGCTTGAGGTGACCTGTGCTTTAGAACATTGTTCATGAACTACAATATGCTCTCTCTCTCTCTCTCTCTCTCTCTCTCTCTCTCTCTCTCTCTCTGACTGGGTACACTGTGGAAATGGGTCTTAGCTTCTTGGTGTTTTTTAGATTCTCTAGGGTGTTATTATGTTAATATCATATGTCAAGGGAATAACGTCTCAGTGAACTTAAATTATTTTTTATCTGAACTAAACTATTTTTTTCCCTTTTTGCTTAACTGAACTGAAGTAGACTATTTTATGTATGTGATATTTGTTTATTTCCTTATACTGTTAATCTTTCTCATTCTATTTCCATCTTTCTTCATCTGAGATGTTTAACAGGGATGAGAAGAAAGCGGAGGCGTAATGGTAGTTTAGTGTTCCATAAAAAGAGCAGGAGATTGTTGCCCTATGTGCCAGTTGAAGATGAGTCTCAAAGGCTAAGGCAAATGCAATCTCTCGCTTCTGCATTGATGGCAATGAATATAAATTTCAGTTCCGAGCTAACTTACATGCCTGGCATGGCTCCTAGATCAGCTAATAAGGCCAGATTAGAAAAGGGTGGCATGCAGGTTCAGCTTTTAACCTTTGTTGTCAACTATATTGATTTTAACTTTGAAATTTCAGTAATGCATTTACAGTCGTTTTATACTTTCATCTGTTTCTCATCGGATATCTCTTGTTAGGTTCTTTCAAAAGAAGACTTTGGTACGTTGCAGTTTTGTAATGCTATGGGAATAAGAGGCTTATGTCCTCCACTTATGGTTGTGTATGACGCATATGAAGGGTATATCATATATCTATTCCCTTTTGTCTTTAGTAGTGGCTCAGTCTCCATTGATCTAATTTGCACGGTTTATGCATTGATCTTCAATTTTTACAGCTATACTGTGGAGGCTGATGGTCCCATAAAGGACCTGACATTGATAGCAGAATACGCTGGAGATGTGGACTATTTGAAGAAGCGGGAGCATGATAACTGTGATAGCCTCATGACACTTCTTTTAGCCAAAAACCCTTCTAGGAGCCTTGTAATCTGCCCTGATAAGCGTGGAAATATAGCTCGTTTTATAAATGGAATAAACAACCATTTACCGTAAGCCTGTGGCCCTCCAACCCTGTTTCACTTATCATGCTTTTTCATTAATTTTAATATTGTTGTTATCTGTCTGAGTTTCTGTTTTCAGCTTAAAATCCTGTCGAAACAACACTTTTAGGTATTGAAACCAGTTCAATTTTGTGCAGGGAGAGTAGGAAGAGGCAGAATCTGAAATGTGTAAGGTACAATGTGAATGGTGAATGTCGTGTCCTCTTGGTCGCAACTCGCGATATTGCCAAGGGGGAGAGATTATATTATGATTATAATGGACATGAGTACGAATACCCTACTCATATGTTCATCTGAGTTTCTGAAGCATTGGATTCCAACCATCGGTGAAGGATTATAGGATTACTTTAGGTCTCCATTCATATACGGCAGTTGCCAATTTTGCTCCGACTTAGAAGTGGTGCTGCCAGGCCATTATGTGGCCAGAATACAAAATTCAGAGAGGATTATTCACCCCCCAATTGCCCTAAGAAACACAGATTAGGCTGATTAGATGCCTTTTTAAATGCTGAATTTAGCATAATGAATGTTTTGAGGTATTTTGGAACCTCGTAAACTATTTTCAAAGCACATTTTTTTTTTTTTTTTTTAGAACATTTCTTCTCTTGATCTCGCTGCTGGTTAGGCAGATGGTCAAGTTGTCTTAAAATGAAACAACGTAAGGCTTCAATGTTGTTTCCAGCTAACTTTGTGCTGCAAAGCCTCGTTAAGGTAACTATGAACTGTGTTATCAGCCTGCATCTTACTTCTTGAGTAGAATGCCGGTTGCCTCGCTCTTCATCCTTTTTCGGCCTGGTATATTCAGACCTAACCAGAGTCAGATTTGAGGATGCTTTCTCTGTGAATGAATGTGAGTGGTAAGTCTTTTCATTACTAACTATCACAGTTTAGTGTACACTAAATCAGTAGTGTACCTTACTAAGCTGTTGTAGTTCTTCAAGTCCAGGACCAGACAGTCAATTTGAGTGCATCTGACCTTGTGAATTTTCACATTTAAACACAGATAAGCTCTTGAAACACAGAGTTCAAGTTTTCTTAACAGCACAAAAGACTTTCTAATGTGAACCCTTCATGAGTTATGGCCAGAACTTAATGGCCAAATCAGTTAAGGGGACATCAGCAACTCGAACTGAAAGATTTAAGGTCGATTATTATCATTTTTTTCAGAACTGGTTTGCATGATAATATCTAGGTAGGAGCAAGATGACAAACTTGAATCAAGGCATCAAGGGCTTGTTAGATCACTGAACTTGGTTCAGTCGGAGAGGTAATACAAGTCAAAATTGGGAGAAAGAAAAAGGTTTTAGAAAGTTTTAATGTCATAACGTATTAAGCGCTGCCTGGATAGTGTTACATATAGGCCGCAATAGCAAGGAGAATACATATTTAAACTTCATTCTCAGGGGTTTATCTTCCTTAATTAAGGACTGTAACTAATAAATTTGGAGTGAAGTGTCCAAATTATGTAGAAGCTCGTTGAAGATGAAAGGTAAAAACAAACATAAATATGATAAGTTAACGAAGTTATCCAAATGATTTACTACCTGCGTCACAATCCTTAATTCTCTCATTTTGGGATGGAGTGCCTAAAATGAAAAATAATAAAGCAACTTGGTTCATTGTAGAAAGGATGAGAGGTGATCATGAATGTAGGTAAAATACTTCCTAAATTCCATAATACTCCAATTTTTAAAGCTTAGGTTGTCCTAAAAGAATGTCTACTAAATAATGTGGGAAGTGTGACAATAAATAGCTCTTGAATCGAATGCATAAGAAATTTTTATGGAATAAAAGGAGTATGAATCTTTAGAAAGATTATAAAGATAAGAAAGGTGCTCAACTTTGTTGACTACCTCTGTGGCTACCTCATGATTTCAATTTGCAAATAATTGGATGAAGAAATGAATTAGAGAAAAAGAGAAACAGAAAGTCCAATCTGTGGGTTTGTAAGTCCTGGTTATGGTTATAGCCCATACATCATTCTTGTGGGCGATCGAGGTGCATGCTGAGCCTGAAGAATTGTTTGTAATAATTTCAAGATTTCTTAATCTCCCAGGTTTATAATTCAAAATTTAATACAACACAATAAAATGAAAAATAAATGATTCTTTTCCATTTCATCTATTGTAGCTAAAAATACATATTTTTTCTCGTAGTGACTACTTTCTAATTTCTTTTCAGGAATTCGATCGACCTTATAAAGACCGTCTTAAATTAGTCTTATATTTAAAATACGTGACATAATAACTCAAAAGCAACTAAATGAAGTATAAATACGATTAAAATGCATCGAGTATTTGATGGATTTATCCCAAGTGTGAGATAGGAGTACATTAGTAGATTTGGTAGTACAAACTTGTACTTTTGGTAAAGAGTTTTTATGAACTCTTCTACTTTGGTAAAGTTGGATAAGCAATATCAAAAAAGAAGCACTGAACATGACGAGGAAATAAATCAAATGGGAGTGAATTCTGGAAGTTGCATATGCAGAGAAGTGACTTAACTGTCTGCATCCTGATTTCTTTTCATGACACCATTCCTAATATTCCCCTGCAAGCTGCCAAATGCCAATACCGTGTGCCATTCCCATCATCATCCCACAATCTAAATATAAATAAATAAATAAAAGCATATAATTGATTTAAAGTGAACCATTATAGTAAAAAAGAAATTCGGGATTAAGTAGCACCAGTACAGTTTGAAAATTTCAAGAAAATGTAAAACAAAGGATGGTATCCATTATTTGAAAGATTAAGTTAATGCAATTAACTCATTATTGGAAATTAAATTAAAATATCACACATCTATTATATTCACCGTTTCAAAATATTCATTAATTTTCCTCCAAAAAATGGAGTAGACACATTTTTACACTACTCACCATTTCAAAATATTCATTAATTTTCCTCCAAAACATAGAGTAGGTACATTTTTAGACTAATATAATTCATGATCAGAACTTCATATCAAAGCATTCTTTTCCTCTTATTTCAGTAATCCAAATTTTGATAAATAAAAGTCTAAAATTATATAATAAACTGATGAATTATTAAAATACCGCGTAAAAAGTATTATTATTATTTTTTACAAAAAGTAGAAAATTAGATAACGCCCCACATTCACAATAACAAAACATATCTATCTACATTAGATAAATCTTCCACTTACTACACACTAAAGTCCAGAATTGATGTCCTCTCATCATTATCTGGTCTTTCACCTCATCATCACCAAAATTGACACATAAATGCTAACTCCTCGCCACCGCCTTCTTTCTGTGTCTAAATGTCCATTTTGTACTTAGTCCTCATCACACGCTTCATTCATTCAACTTCCCTTGAGTGAAGCAACTCAAGCTTCATTCATTTGGTTATATAAGTCTTGATCCTCTAGATCAAACAAATTATTGAAGAAATTAAAACCCAAAAAACAAAAAAAAGGTTTGATGGGTACCTTAGAAGATGAGAAGCTGTTCCAAATGGTACATGATTTTCTGAAATCTGAATCTTCATCAGAAAATCCTGTTTCTTCATATGAAAGCTTGCCCTCCAACCATCATTATGCTAAGCATTACATTTTGCAGGTAGTTTATTCATGGAGTTGTGAATCAGTACATTTCCGTCTCATTTTAATAGTCCAGCTTATATATGGATCTTTTTGTGTTTGTAACAACTAAGGTTAAATTTGGTTCTTTTTTTTCCTTCTACTTTTGGTGCTTGTAGGAGATTGTAGAGAGTAGGAATGCAGTTGAAAATGCTGTCTTTGGATGTGTGTTGAAGAATTTGAGGATCAATAAAATCAAAGCGGCAGACAAGAATTCTACCAGCTTGAAGAAATGGCTTGTGATGAGACTCAGAAAGAATGGTTTTCATGGCGCTTCACTTTGTCGAACCTCTTGGCTTACTATTTCAGGTTGCCCTGGAGGTAAGTCTTTATCAATTTCCATGTTTTTAATGATTTCCATTTAAAGGGATCGATCAAAATAGAACTCAAGCCATTCTCCTAATTTCTTCATTTTACCAAATGATTCATTAGCAAAGATGTAATGAAATCTGAAGTCTGAGCCCTTTTTGATTTTGTACTCATAAACAGGGACTTATGAGTATATTGAAGTTGTGATTCAAAGTTCATCATCATCATCATCACCATCGATTCGACTGATTTTAGACATTGATTTCAAGTCACAATTCGAATTAGCCAGGCCAACACCAACTTACAAGGAGCTCTGTGACAAGCTGCCTTCCATTTTCATTGGTGATGCCCAGAAGCTTTCTAAAATCATCTCAATACTCTGTTCTGAAGCAAAACAATCACTCAAAGAAAGAGGTCTTCATATCCCTCCATGGAGGACAGTGGCTTACATGCAATCCAAATGGCTTGCCAACCCTCAAAGGGTATCTTTCAATCAAGTTAAAGAAGTAGTAAATCAGTTTAGCCCACTGGGTACGGCTCTAACTCCTTTAGTGATGAGGAAAGGTGATCAACAGAGGGATGATTGTGTTGTGGGAAAGTCATCATCGGCTTTGTCTAGTCAACTTGCTAATTTGAGCACAAAATGCTTCTGATTTGTGAGTTTTTTTGGGGGGGGGGTGTCTACCTTTTTGGGGTTGATTTTCTTTTTCCTAGCTTCCTGGTTAGTTTGCCTCAAAAGGATCTATGTGGTGATAGGTGCTAGATTAGGTCAATTTTGCAGTAGCTAGCTTTACTTACTTTGAAGGGATTTATGTTGCTCTTAGGCATCTTTTCATGAAGTGACAATCAAGAAAGTGCACTTCTAACCAAATTTGGATAGTACTGTTACATTTATTCAATTGACCATATGATAGCAGAGGAAACTTCAAACAAAAATGGAGTAAACCAAGTGCAAAACCCTTTCCAAAATTGTAACAACTTTTTTTTGGGTCCTTCCTTGGTAAAGCAATGATTAAGAATTTCTATAATTGAGTATTGAACAAAATAGCGTTTTATGGCATTTCATTAGATCCAGAATGCGATGCAATATGGTGCCGAGTAAACACCTTAGAAGAATTATTTGAGACCGGAATTTTGAGTTCTAAGAAAAATGATTCTCTTCACCAAAAAATAGTATAAACCTAGGCAGCATAATGCTATTTTTAAAGAGCTTTATGGATCCTATCCCATTCAACATGGAATGTATAGTACTCTATATGTGACTTCTGTAATCACAATACAATGTATAAGAACAAGAAAACCCAAAAAAAATTGGAAGAATCATTTGAAGGATGCATCGGACTTAAGCCTCAGGAACTTGACAGAGATGCTGTGGTTATAGCAGGTGGTGTAGGGTAGTAAAATGGTTCATCAGTCCAGTTTTTCTCACCCCAATGCCTTAACATACTCTTCCAGTTGCATAATCTGTCGATGCATTTCTTCCGACGAGGATCTTTAACCTTCAGTTTCCAATGTCCATCTGTATAGTTTGCCTTTTCTGCTTCCCTTCTGTCCCATTCCATCTGCGCTTTCTGTTTTGAACTCAACAGGCAGAACTCCTGCAACCTCCTTGGCATCGCGTCGTGTACTCTCCACCAACTTCTGTGAGCAATGTCGCTTGCGAATTCCTGTAATATGTCGACGTTCCAGTTGCAGTCAAAATCGCGGTAGCACAACCACGGTTTGTAGCCTAAGTAGTGAAGGACATAAAGAATTGGTGGCTCTGCCCCGAACAGGCGGATCTTCTTCTGTTTCGCTTCTTCCTCATCACCAATCCAGAAATGTTTCAAGAAGTTCATGTGTTTCGGGATTCTGTGCCACCATGTGAAGATTTCGTTCAAGTATCCTTGGTCTCCACCGTTGTAGGATTCAATCTCGTTGATGTGATCCATTAGGAGCTGGAATGTGCAGTTTGATGGCTCAATAATCATGACCCCTGAGTTAAAAAGCGTACCGTTGTTTCCTGTAGCCGAAATCTGTGGCATTTTGAATAGGAAATCGATGTTTCTGAGGATCAGTAAATCAGCATCAATGAAGATGATTTTGTCATAGTCTGTCAGCTGCCAAAGTCTGAACTTGCTGTAGTTCCATTCATTGTATGCATCTTTTTCAGCTTTCGGATTCCTTATCCTCTGTATTGTCCTGATTTTCCACCCTGCAGCTTCAAGTCCACTTCTATGATACTCACTTATTGTGTCATCTACAAGGATAACAAGATCCCTTGTCGATCCTGCCATGCGAATACTTTGGGCTGCAGCGATCGCGCCACAAACATAGACATGGGCTGAATGAAGTATTGTCGCGTATGCTTCACGAGGTCTTTTGACTGCATACTCTTGTTCTGTTTCAAAAATTTTACAAGTAAATGCATATAAGGAAATGTTCCTTTTTGCAAATGAGGAGAAAAGTTAATTTGGTTTAAGGATAAGAACTTACCATTGGCGCCATGGGGGAGCGCGAGTTCACATGATCCCACCGGGAGCTGAATCTTTTCTCTCAGAGAATTCAAATTAGGTTCGTACAACCATGAGTTACCCTGGCGGGCGACAAGTTCTTTGCAAGGGAAAAGATTCGGTATTGGAAAACATTTGGTCGAAAACAGCAGATGAACCGGGTGGTTCCCTTTGAAAGATGCTGCTAAACCAGCTGCAGCAAGTTGCAAATGGAGCCTAGCAACATCTCTTGACCAGTTACCATTATTTTGGCAAGGAAGCTTGACTGCGACAAGGTCAAGCCTCTTTTCAGGAACTTCAATCTTTGGAAAAGACGGGCAAGTAGGTACTTCATCTTCTTGTTCTTCATCAATCCACTCAGGATACAAGATATCCCAAGTAATGTTTTTATCCGCATGGTCTAGATTCAGGGTTGTATGATCAGCAAAGGGCATGACTTGCTTCCATTGAAAGATTTCAGTTTCATTAAAATTAAGAAGGCCGATTCTGTGAATGCTATTCTGGTCCGGGATCTTCTGTACGACTTTTATGATCTCATCCCAATTGACATCAAGATCTGATTTGTATCTAGGATCAAATCCACCCCATATCCACCTGTTCACAAAATGTTGCCTGCATAAGTTATTCATCAATGGAAACTGAGATATCAGGCTCATCCTGACAAACCATTTTCTCAGATGTATTTGACTTCAATTGTATACAAATTTTACAACTTACCGGGAAACAGTCCGGGAAATGCCACTATTAGGGCAGGAAGGTGGGGAGGAGAGAATTTTCAGAATAGTGCATGTTAGAATCACAAGTAGGACTAACTTCATTGGATGAAGCTTGTATTTTGTGCTTCTTTCTTGTAATAAGGACATTTGGAAAGGCTTCTCAATATCTTTAACTCTAATTCTCTGTAATCTCCTCTTGCATGCATCTTCTCTGCAAAACAAAAGGTACAAAATGAGTCAATGCAATACTAAAACAGGATGCTATGGATTAATGGAACAGTTAGGTTCTTTATCCAGCAACGCAAACTCTAGGGCTACATAATGTGGTATCAATTTTTCGAGCGGTAATAACTTTACTTCACTAATGAGATATGTATCAGATAAAATAAGTGCGACTGATGATCTGATCACACATCTCCTACGTAGTTTATTATGCAATCTACCATATCTATAAGCAGCGGCTAGTATTGCAATCAACATTTTTTTTTTCACTAAGGAAATTAACTCCCTTACAAAGAAGCTAAGATGGAAAAGGAAGAATACAACTAAGAAAAAAACATCTAAGGCATGATCTGAGACTTTATATCCTAACAGACACAACGCAGATTAGTCATCATATCACCAAACAGTAAGAGCTAGTTATGAAGTTCCTCTATAGTATAAACCTTCTGCGATTCGAGGTGGTAACTGAAAGTTTATAAACAATTCTTGGGTTTAAATAAACTCATTTGAAGTTTAGCTTCAAATATCAAATTCCCTTTAAAACAATAATTTACCAGATTGAAAACCTTGGTTTATACTCCATTTGACCCACAAAAAAAGGTCGCCTTCAAAAATGTGGACCAGTTGCTAAATTGAAGAGATAATATATAATTACATTACGCGAGCACAACATTTTTTCTCCATCAAATGAAGCTGATATTTACTTTTGAAATCTACTTAACTAAATACTGCAAAATATAACAACTATACCAACCACCCTCCTACTTACAAGAAAACAACAGCGGGATTTCTTTTTCCCTTTTTTCCTTTTTTTTTTTTTGAAAAAAGTTGCTGTTCAAAATATAAAATAATGGATGGCGACTAATTTGCCTCATTTGTTAAGTAAAACTATAATGTTTCACAAATTCTATAATCTCGATTTTAACAAGCGAAATTGTAGTACCCAGAACCTGGGGTATAAGGTATCAAAGACTGCCTAATTGTGCAGGTGAAAATTGATAGACAAAGCTTCTGCTTTGTACTAACTTCAACATCCGTTATAATTAATTTATTCAGCATTAATTAAATGAAATTTAAAATGGGGAAATATTAGGAAAACAGTAGAGAGTGAGTGATCTTTGCCTTGCTTCCATGGAGAGGTTCAACAGGCTTCCACCAACTCCTTCAATTTTGAATGTGGATTTTGCGAATTTGGTGAAAATGCCCAATGCTCTGCACAAACCAAATCAATCAAAAAGTTAATATTCAAATTCGTAATCTACACATTAATTTCACCAATGACTAATATAGCCAAAAATATGAAAAGGGCAAATCACTTCAACGGTTTAAAGATTTTAGTGTCCTAATCTGTTTCAGTCATTAATTTCAAAAATTTGCTTAATCATCTATTAGTGCAATTGTTGTCTTTAGTCTCCAAATCTGTTTCAGTCATTAAAAGTTTCTGACCAAACAAATTATCATGTTACAATTGCTGATTGGCGTTCCAATAAAAGAAAAACACGTCTGACTCATATTGAAAACTTTGACCAACTGACCTGATTGTACTGTATTGAAAGTTGAAACTCATTGAAGTTGAACCATGAGTTTATAAAATTTCTTGACGATGAAATACAAAAATGAATTGAGACACAAAATTAGAAGACTTATCTGGGTGACTTAGTCAAGTATACAACAACTTGAAAATCTACAAACACGCAAAATATTATTTGATGTACAGCTTTTGCAGCTTACTTCAACAATCATATTTTTTTTGTCTCAAAATAATTGAACGTTCTGTACTATTCTTGTCACATATCCTCTTCGTCTCAAAATAATTGAACGTTCTGTACTATTCTTGTCAAGCAAATAGTACTCATTATCATTCCAACATCAACTGTCTTGCCTGTCTCATAGCGTGAGTTTTGTGTTTTTATGTATTTGACCAGCTTACATTCAACATGAAGAACATGGCACTCAAGAGTAATAATGCAAGAAAGAAAGAACCCCAAAGAAAGGCAGCACTCACATTATATCAGCATGATGGCAACTTCAGAAATTCCAATTTCCTCAGCATCAAATGGATCAACATATGATAGTAAAGATCACGAAAAAGGGTTGATATCACTATGATTCTGAAAAGGGTTTCTCAAAATCAGAGATAATCAGAGAAGAAGATGAGGATCAGAGAAATTTGGGGAGTGCTGCTCACAAAGTTATGGAATAAATGGGAGAGAAGAAGTAACGAGATGGTGATGAATAAAAATGAGAGGAGAAGAAGCCAAAAGAAGAAGATGATGGAAAAAGAAAGAAGGGGGTAAGACACAATTTTTAAAAGTACTAAACTTGCATTTGAATTCTTCAACAAAATTTCAAGACTTTTTTTTTTCCCTTAGTGAAATCTTATATTTGTGAGTTGTGGAATATTTGGTGAAACAACAACAAAACTTTTGTTTCTTTTTTAGAAAGAAATGAGACATTTGTACTCTACTTGTTTGTTACCAACTTACTTGCTTTCATTATCCTCTTGGAAAAAAAAAAAAGTAACCAAGATATCAATAATTTTGGAAATTGAAATTTTTTTTTTTTTTTTGATAATCTTATGTTGTTATCAGTGTAAATTTTAGGCAATATGCACCTACTCTTCCCAAATGTATATACTATATGTACATAATTTCATGTGGAAAAAAAGGACAAAGTAGGTAAACATACGTATAACTAAACCAACTACGAAATAGTTAACTATCTAGTATTCCCAACCGATATTAATAAAGAAAGGTATAATTAATTGAATTCCAGCCCTAAATTAAGCTATCATCTGTTTGAAGATTTGGTTTATAAAAGGCACACTGGAATTTCTATTTGGTGCATTAAAAATCAAAGAATAATAAAATTAGCTGTATCAAAGAATACACATCTACTTCTTGGTAATCCTTTCTTCAAAGTTACGTATACAAATGTCAACTTCTGTAGTCTAAATAGCGATTTGTTATCAAGCCGTCGTCCGAAATTTTCCCAGATGATGACAATTCAATTGATTATCATTACATTGAGTACTTATAATTGTAATATAATATCCCGTAGCATTTAATTTTATTTTTATTTCAAGGGATCTACCTAAAACTTTTATGGGAATGTGAATTATGATGTGATATTCAAGACAAAACTAACACACATTAGTTTGAATATTTAATATTAATGTACCTTGAACTCTCTCCATAGTCGTTTTAAATTTAAAGGAATATTTTAAAATATAAAAATATAAGACAAATTAATTATTAAATTTTTAATTTTATCCTCAATAAATGATATCAGCTCTTTTTTATTCTTGCTTATAATTCTAGTTCATTTAATGAGGGGTATACAAGATACTAAAAAAAAGGGTATAAACATATTTGATATAAAATTTAATTGATGAGTGATTATATGATATATCTTTTGTTTATTTGTAAATTTTAATGTAACTGAAATTTTGAAATAGAGGGACTATACGGTATGGTATCTAACAGAAAATTCTTTGAAAAATTATTGTTCCAAAAGTTCTAAGATTACCTTTGCAGTTAAAAAGCAAAAAGTAGGACATGATTGAACACAGGAAATTCGATGGATGGTAAACTCGAAAAATTATAGCGCGAACTAAGAGGCCGGCCGGTAGAAGAAAAATGTAAATTCGTATCGGAAAAATAATAATTACGGCGGCTTGAACTCTTCATCATTCAAAGTGTATTCGCATTACCAAACAACCAAAAGGTAGAAACCTAGTCCTTTAACTTGCTTTTTTTCCGTATCGATCATGAAAATAATTTTGATCTTTATAGCGTAACGATGAAAGTACTACAATATTATTAAATGATACGAAATAGTTAAAATGTATATAGTACGTAGTAGGCAAGCAAAAAATATAGGAAAGAAATAGAAAGCCACAAATACACCACCATTTGGTTTTAATTAGTTGAGGGTAGTAGATAGATTAGGTTAATGAAAACAACAGGTTTAGTTGAAGATGTTTATATGGATGTGATAGGGATGATTAGTAAGTCATATCTTACTAACTAAAAATCGTAATTACCTCATCTTCATGACTTGATCAAAACACTGAAATGTATGGTAAAATTGTTTAATCAAAAGGGACTGTTTTACTAATAACTTTCATAATACAAAACCCTTTGGTAAAATTGTTTAATCAAGAGGGACTGTTTTACTAATAACTTTCAAAATTAAATGCCGTTTTGATCAGACAGTTTGTTTGAAGTGAAGATTGATTTGCTTCAGCTTTATGTAACCTTGTAGGTGTTCCTTATTTGTAATAACATGTCCAACCTAATCATCAAGCTTTAAGACAATATTACAAAATGAATTGTTAAAAAAGAACAGAGCGGGTTATCACAATTTGGTCATAAGGTGCATATGGTTAGTTATGTTTTTTTGAAAGATGCAAAAAAAGCCATTTACTTTTTTTTTTTTTAATTGTGTGCACTTTTAACCATATCCTCAATGCACATTTAGATATCACCAAATAGTCAACCTAAGACAGTTACACGTATGTCAAAAGCCTATATAGGTTGGTCACACGGCTATCTGATTAATTTACAAATTTTTCGATCTTAAAAGATAGTCTATTATATTGTACTATTATTTAAGTTTTAGGATTAAATTAGACAAAATGAATTATTTTTTGCAAGGCAGAAATATATTATTTGGAAATACTGGTTTTTGAAATATAATAATGAATGCGGCAATTTTTATCTTTTACAAACTATTTAAAAACCGACTTAAAACTATACCACCATACGAAACATACATTATAGAAAATTCGACTTTAAGAAAGTGTTGCACTTAATTAATAGCTAAAATTGCTACTCGTTAAGAATTCAAGCTCCATTAACCTTAAGCTAAAATTTCAAACGTCTATTAAGTTTAAGAAATCTAACTATTTTTTAGCATAATTAACTCAAACTCGCGAAAGAAAGAGGGTTTCAATTAGAATCTAATTGACATAAAAGTTACAACTTTCTAGATAAATTTAAAAAATGCTACGAGTTCATGCGATATATAGCAAACAACAGTTGTCCCAATGTAGAAGAATGCTTGCTTGTTTAGGATATGAGATCCATGGACACTTTCCGAGTCCTAAAATAGTCAATTCTTGCACCTATCGCTACGTCTTTTTTTGTTTATCGCTTCACTCTTCCCATACCGTTTTTTCCTTTTTTATTTTTTTCTTTAGGGTTCACTTTTTTTTTTTTTATAATTTTCTTTGGGGGATTGGGCGATATAGATTTTCTGCTCCTTCCGTTAAGGTTGTATAGTTCAATTCGCTATATTGTTTTAACTTAATAAAATAAATTATTTATTTAAAAGGGATGGAGTAGAATCAATACTTCTTGGCAATTTTCCCACTTTCAAAACAAGCACGATGCTATTTTCGTAACTAGTAATGGATAAATTTGGTGGATTTTATTTTATTTTATTTTATTTTGAAAAAACTATTTTTTAAACCTAATTTAAGGTACTAGCATAAAATGTTTACATCATTAAAAGAGGGTTTACTTTTAACTTGCTCAAAATGATATGTTTCAGATAATTTTGCCCGACCAGGTTGATGTTGTGGTTACAACATAAAACCCTCCTACCCACACTTCATGTTTTGGCTTTAAGAAGTTACTCTCAATTTTGTTTCTTAATTAGAGAATAACATTCTTTCTGTCTTACAAACTAATTTACTCCCTCTGTCCCAAAATTATTGTTCAGTTTGAAATTTTATTTTTAGTACAATTTAAACTAAACATAAATATTCAAACTGGACAATAATTATGGGACGGAGGGAGTATTTCTTTTTTTTTTTTTTTTTTGAAATATACAAACTAATCTACTTTATTGTATTATTAGTTCAAGAAAGTAAACTATATTTTCAGAATGGAGGAAATACTTCTTTTTTCTCAAAAGTTCTTGTTTATAGCCAAGGCAATTGGGTTTAAATTACAAGATCAAATTAATTCAATTCATAGTTGCGAAATCTCATAATTTAGAAAATTAGGGTATAGAGTGCACTTGTATTACTTGAAAGAGACATAAGTTCATATGTTATTATCCCAGTATCTTCAAATTACTTCCAAGCTCGTATTAAGATTAAAATTTGTATATGCTTAAGAAATTCAATACAATTTACAATAACTATATGTATCTTCTAAATAATTGATCTGTTTCCATCTAGATTTCACATTTTACAATACAACACCGGATGTAGTAGGCAATTAAAAAAGAGTAACAATATATCGAATTCCAGATTGGTGATCATTCAATAAAAGAAAAACAAGAATGTAATGACAACGTATATGTTAATCATATCATGCATAGATGCATGAAATAAAAGAACACTAAAATGGAAGATAAGGTTTGGTCCTTTTGTTGATCGATACTATTACAAGAAAGACATGACACCGTATATGCTTTGTCTTCAAAGCAAAGCAACACCCAAGCATGCGCAGGTGTGCATGCCCATTGTTTTTTTCTTAAGTAGTGCAATCTTAGCGGGAATGGGTTTTTATCGCGCTATAGTGCAATCTTCATTAAATCTTTTCATGAAAGATCCTTAAGCGTGACTAAACAAAGACTATCTAAATTATTACTACTGTTACGTAAACAAATTATAGGGGAAAAAATATTGAGAAAAGATATAGTACTAATATATAGAATCCTCCACAAACATGCAGGCAGATATAATATGTAATGCCAATAATTCAAAAGATATTGATGGCAAAATTATTCTTCTTAGTGATGAAGTTGAGGAGGAGGCGGCGTGCAACAGCAGAAAGTAGAGAAGTGTAGCAGAGAGGAATTGAGGGAGGTTGAAAAATGTGACGCGTTTAATTTTAATGTTATTGCACATTCTCCCTTAATTAGTCGATGAGATATATTGTTATTGCGTATTTGTGGAATTAATTTTCCGATTCCATTTGTTTAAAGAGAATTTTTTTTTTCTTAGAGATATAGTTAGTTATTTTAAGAAAACATTCATTTAAATGATTATTTGTAATCGTCAACATAAACTAAAATCATACGTTACCTTTCTATACGATGAGATAGGATGATTTTGGATTCAATGTTCTACTTTCTTTTTGTTTTTTGGAATGAATTTGATTCATTATTTTAAGTGGTAATTTGTGAATGATAACAGAAAAATGCCAATTAAATAAATCTATACGTTATTTTCGGGAATTAGTGGATTAAGGAAAGTTGTAATCAATGGCATTTTGAAATGTGGAAAAAAAAACTTCAAATAAATCACAAAATAACATGTAAGATTCTTATGTAGCTTCACGAAATGGATTAAAAACGGCCAACTTTAATATATATAATAATAAATATATATGATATATATGATTTGTTGCTCCCGTTGTAAATCTATTAACACTCCCCAATCCTAGAGTCAAAATCAAACCAGTCTTCAAGTCAATCAATGATACTCGATCTAGAGTAGATACAATTGGTATATGTTCT